CCATAGCAGCGAAGTAAATTATTTAAATTAGCTTACTGGTGCTTGATGTTATTTGCAAAAGAGCAACTCACGTCGTCTTTTGCAGCTACGGCACCTCAATGGATGCCGTTTAATCTTTCCTTAAATTTCTTTTTTTATACCCGGCTAAAGTGCTTCCATTCTGGGCTCTCTATTTTAACCTCTTGCTTAGATGTGCAGCACAGAACTTAATAGCTGGAAACCCTGTACCACCGGAGTCCTTTGATGAGGTGACCATCTACTTCAGTGATATAGTTGGATTTTGGCATATAGCTGCGAAGTCAACAGCTATACAGATTGCCGAGTTCCTGAACGACCTTTACTCCATCTTTGACACTGCTCTTGAAAAGTTTGATGTCTACAAGGTAAGCTACTTCTATTTTCTGAAAACGTTGCACGCATTTTGCATACTCTGTCGTGGAGTCCATTCTATATTCTCCTAAGTGTACCATCTTAGAAAACTGGGGTTCTTGTACCTGACATGGATCGTGCAATTCTTCGAACACAGTCCTCAGGACATTGACCTAAGTTTGCCAAGCCGTGTCTGTCAAAATAATATAAGTACAGTGGGCCCACGCAGTCATGGTGTGTTAGCTGATGAAATTATCAATTTCTTTGGACTAAAGGGATTTAATATAGTCAAAATGATTGCTGAGAAGCACAGGGGTTAATTGGACCCTTACTGGTAGTCTATTATCCTTAATAGGCAAATGATACTAATCTCAGTTGTTGCCGTGCCCGAGGTTTCAATTATATTCTATATGGAATGAAGCTAATAGCATCTGGACAAAAGGGTGCAGCTTCTCGCGTTTGTTTTCAAATGCTTTAAACTGTTCTGCTAATCCTTAACAGCATAATTGGCATACACATGAACGATAGAGACTGTCAGTGATTATATAAACATTCACTATATTTGACTTTATTTTCTCGACTGGCTTCAAACAGCCGGCGGTCTTCCTAACAAACGATGTCCTCATTGAACGGAAATAGTATGCAAATCAAGCACTTGGCCTCCCATCCTTCTTTGCGTGTGGAATCGTAGCCTGGACCTGCCCTATATGATCTTTGCACCGAAGGGTGCCATCACCAAATGGTCACGAAATGATTGTCCCATAGTCGAAGCTTGCGGTCGAAGATGATATGATCATCTTACTTCACAAACCAAAATTTCTAGTACGATATAATTTGAGTTTACTTTCAACATCCATACTTTTAGGTCCTGAGAGTCTCCGTGTGGTAGCTTGCAGCAGGAGCACAATCTGCCAATTTAGTACGCAACAGTAGAGTAGAGTAGGCGAATAGATGCACATAGTTTGTCGGCTTATAACGCAGTGTGATTCTATATTATAATCATTTGTTATCTTCCATTTTTAAGATCATCCTTCCTGAAGTCTGAATTAATAACGTCGTACACCTCATCCGAAAGATACAATTATTTTTGTCCTATATATATATTTTTTGTTTTCAAATGCTGGTTAAAATTTCTTCTTAATTCTGTTGATAGTAGATACGTCATATAATCCTTCTGCAAAAAGTGATTTCCACTATTCATATGTGTATGTCAATGCAAGCCATGTATTATGTGTAAAGTATATACCCAACCAGTGTTCATGCGTCCTTACACGTGTATGTCTACCTCTTGTGACCAGAATTCGAAGACCCTGATGAAAGTGTTCATTTTATGATAAAAACATGTCCCTAGACGTGCAAAATGCATCGTATTTGGAGAAGGTTATGGGACTCACACGCAATATCAACAAACTTCTGAATAGTCATGCTTTTTTACCCCAAAATTGATGTTCATACACATCTCTGGATTATTGTTAGTCTCTGCCGATTAGTAAGAATTCATGTTGAAGGCAAGTCATCCATCAACTTACGCCTGTGCATAACAGAAAGTTATCGTATGTTGGTGTTGTTCTTTTGCATTTCTAAAGAATACTGTACAACTTCTCCGTAATCTACTATATACTATAAGATTTTAGAATACTAGCACCCTCGCTTACCACTTAGCAATGGAATTTTATTTAGGATGTCAAGTTAGACGAACAAACGTTTTCCATTAATTCATCATCAGGCAATAAAATTATATAAGAGAGAGAAGAGTTAACAAAAGTCTAAGCAATCAATCATTAATAATTATGGAAAAAAGGGGAAGGTGTCAAGGGGTCAAAGGAGTCAGATTCTAGTCTTAATTGGGGACCAGAGAGGGGCAAGAGGGGGAGGAGGGGAAGGGGTCCGGCGATAAGTTCATGTCGTCCCGTCGTTCTTGTCTCACGTTTTGTTGGGAGGTGTGAAGACGCAAGGTGTTATCGTCTAGTGACGGCATGGATGGACTGGGGATGCTTGCTATCGTGGCCTTGTCATCGTGTCGCAGAGTGGTAGGAAGCGTGTGGAGGGATGTTGAGCTGGCCTTCAGCCACGGGAACCTCAGGGCCGCTACAAAGCCTTCTGCGCACATAAGGTCGGGTTAGTGGGGCATATGGTGACTGCCTCTGCCGTCGCAAGTATCCGTCGCCGGCACTTTATACATGATTCGAAAGGCTTAGTTTAAGTATGTCCGATGGCCGCTGTCAACCAAGTGAGCCAAAATCACGCTTGGTATAGACTTTACATCGCCTCTGTTTAGCCAAGCAGGATGATGTTCTCGCATGCGCTTGGAAAGCCGTCTAGTTGTTCGACCAATATAACCTGCCTCACAGGAGCATGTAAAGGTGCATATACACATTCAAGTGGTTTGGAACGGGAGTCTATCCTTGCCTTTAAGGCGAGGAAGTGGAGTGCTTGAGAATACTATTTTTAACTTAGCCACTGGATACGTATAAATTTGATTTAGGCACGGGAAGAAGAAAAAGAAGAACCGATCCCAGCACTGCGGGTGACTTTTTACTAAATTACAGTACATAATAAAGTAGAATTTAACCTTTTCTGGCCCTAAACCTAACATCAGTTCTAATTTAAGCGCTACAGACAGCCTTAATTTCTCTGGAATTTAGCGCAGGGTCACCTGATTGGCAGGGGTTTCCTATTCCTTTGTCTTACCTGAAGTTACAACGAGGACGAAAAAATCGGCGGAAGATAGAGAAATTGCGGCAAGGGAAAAGATCACAGCGTCTCATGCAATCAAATGGGTCCTGTGCGCCTAGAAGAAAAATCCTATGATTAAGGATTCCCGAGGGAATCCGAAACGTTAGGCAAATAAAACTCTAGTTCCAGTGATCGCATCTTCTTCTTCTGAAAGTCATAGAAGTATCGCTGTCACCAGCGTCCGAAGTTATCAAGCCGTCTCCCCGCTCTTCATTATCTCATCCGGTGCTTACTATTCCGCTGACGCTGATCAGATGACACTGACTGTAATTTTGTTTCCTTCCCTTTCGTAAACACTAGCTACGACCTGTTTTTTTGAACTCACCTGCATCATTTTGCTATTCAAAGAGACTTAGAGAGAATTTTTTTTAGCAAATGAATACGGGCCAAAGTGTCATTCAAAGTAAGAGAGTTATGGCAAAAAGCAGCTGGGAGCAGTTCACATCAATCCAGCGCAAGCCCCATAAGTTGTCAATCCACGGTTGGAGCTGGGACATTGAGTTTCCTTTGGCCATAAACTGCTTCTTGGGCGAAAGTCTCCATTTTCCAGTAAAAATTGTATGAAGAGTTGAAAAACCTCCATTAGATCTCCTCAGAGTATCACACATAGGCAACTTCGCCTTCGCCGTCCGCCTATCATTATCTATTAAGAGTTTTTGTCCGGCCGACTTGCCACAGGTCACTGTAGTAATTAACTTTCCAGGTGGAAACCATCGGCGACTCCTATGTGGTGTCCTCGGGTTTGCCAAGGCGCAACGGACGCAGACACGCCGGGGAAATTGCATCCATGGCACTTGAGTTGCTCAGTATCAGCGGCACGTTCGCCATTCGTCACATGCCGACGGTTCCCCTACGCCTGCGTATTGGCATACACACGGGTGAGCTTACATTTGACCTTCTTCAGTTCCTTCTTGAGGTGTGGTGCGTTCAATAGCAGTATAAAAAACGGAACAAATCAGTGTCTCTCTGGCGTTTGCCAAAGTGGGGGACCAGAAGATAAGACCTTTCCGGTTTATTCATTCTGAGACTTAGCGTTCCGACCAAGAACAAGACATTAGCTTGCACACGTGCTCGACAATTCGGAAAGGTGGTTTACTTCAATCTTGCTGATGTTTTCCTACCTGACTGAAAACCTTAAAAGTCCATTATTTGTAAATGAGTAAATTCATATCACCTTAAAAGCATTGTTAAGTGATCACATGTTATTTGTTCGATATTGGATGGAAGAAATTTCAAGGTACCTATACTATACAAAAACCTTCCTTCATTTCAGCCACTGAGCCAAATCACATTCTCAGTCGTCTTGAATCGAAGGGGGCGGGGCCAGTCGATACATTTTAAATCAAGCGTTCAAATAATTAATATCAATAATCAGATACGCCTTGCAACTAGCGGCAGGATTACCATTAGCAGTAGATGATTTTTACAATATGCAAAATACTAAGTGCATTTCAGTAGACGTAGTTTGCATTTGCTCACAGAGATTTTCGACT